TATCAACTAGGTCTTCAACCTCGCCATCAACCAGGTTATCAACCAGGTCTTCAACCAGGTCTTCTACCTCGCCATCAACCGGGTTATCAACCAGGTCTTCAACCAGGTCTTCACCCTGGTCATCAACCAGGTCATCAACCAGATCTTCAACCAGGTCATCAACCAGGTCATCAACCAGGTCATCAACCAGATCTTCAACCAGGCCATCAACCATGTCATCAACCAGGCCATCAACCAGGTCATCAACCACGTCTTCAACCTGGCCATCAACCAGGTTATAAACCTGGCCATCAACCAGGCCATCAACCAGGTCTTCAATCAGGTCTTCAATCTCGCTATCAACCAAGTCATCAACCAGGTCATCAACCAGGTCATCAACCAGGTCATCAACCAGGTCATCAACCTGGCCATCAACCAGGCCATCAACCAGGCAATCAACCAGGCCATCAACCAGGTCATCAACCAGGCAATCAACCAGGTCATCAACCAGGTCATCAACCTGGCCATCAACCAGGCCATCAACCAGGCAATCAACCAGGTCATCAACCAGGCAATCAACCAGGCAATCAACCAGGTTATCAACTAGGCAATCAACCAGGCAATCGACCAGGCAATCAACCAGGCAATCAACCAGGCAATCAACTAGGCAATCAACCAGGCAATCAACCAGGCAATCAACTAGGCAATCAACCAGGCAATCAACCAGGCAATCAACCAGGCAATCAACTAGGCAATCAACTAGGCAATCAACCAGGCAATCAACCAGGCAATCAACTAGGCAATCAACCAGGCAATCAACCAGGCAATCAACCAGATCATCAACCAGGCCATCAACCAGGCAGTCAACCAGATCATCAACCAGGCCATCAACCAGGCAATCAACCAGGCCATCTACCAGGCAATCAACCAGGCCATCAACCAGGCAATCACCCAGTCAATCAACCAGGCAATCAACCAGGCAATCAACTAGGCAATCAACCAGATCATCAACCAGGCCATCTACCATTCAATCAACCAGATCATCAACCAGGCCATCAACCAGGCAATCAACCAGGCCATCTACCAGTCAATCAACCAGATCATCAACCAGGCCATCAACCAGGCAATCAACCAGGCCATCAACCAGGCCATCTACCAGGCAATCAACCAGGCCATCAACCAGGCCATCAACCAGGCCATCAACCAGATCATCAACCAGGTCATCAACCAGGTCATCAACCAGATCATCAACCAGGTCATCAACCAGACCATCAACCAGGCCATCAACCAGGCCATCAACCAGGCAATCAACCAGGTCATCTACCAGGCAATCAACCAGGTCATCTACCAGGCAATCAACCAGGCAATCAACCAGATCATCAACCAGGCCATCAACCAGGCAGTCAACCAGATCATCAACCAGGCCATCAACCAGGTCATCAACCAGACCATCAACCAGGCCATCAACCAGGTCATCAACCAGGCCATCAACCAGGCCATCAACCAGGTCATCAACCAGACCATCAACCAGGCCATCAACCAGGTCATCAACCAGGCCATCAACCAGGTCATCAACCAGGTCATCTACCAGGCAATCAACCAGGTCATCAACCAGGTCATCAACCAGGCAATCAACCAGACCATCAACCAGGCAATCAACCAGGTCATCTACCAGGCAATCAACCAGGTCATCTACCAGGCAATCAACCAGGCAATCAACCAGATCATCAACCAGGCCATCAACCAGGTCATCTACCAGATCATCAACCAGGCCATCAACCAGGTCATCAACCAGGTCATCAACCAGACCATCAACCAGGTCATCAACCAGACCATCAACCAGGTCATCAACCAGACCATCAACCAGGTCATCAACCAGACCATCAACCAGGTCATCAACCAGACCATCAACCAGACCATCAACCAGACCATCAACAAGACCATCAACCAGGTCATCAACCAGACCATCAACCAGGTCATCAACCAGACCATCAACCTAGATCAGCTGAGGGACTGACCACCTCCAAGCTACACCTTGAAGGATGTGGACTGATGACAACGTCTCTACACCTCCACTGCTTCAGTTGCTGCTTCTGTACTCGACTGAAGAAACCTACTGTGTGGGCGAGACGTCTTGCATGGGCGAGACGTCTTGCACCTTTGTCTTATTAACTTGTGGTGGGTACTGTATAAGGTGTATTGTGTGGCTCTATATGTTGTACTGTAGAGGTATCGCGCCGTGTAGAGCTCTATCATGCCATGTTTCACTCAGTGTAGAGCACTATCATGCCATGTTTCACTCAGTGTAGAGCTCTATCATGCCATGTTTCACTCAGTGTAGAGCTCTATCATGCCATGTTTCACTCAGTGTAGAGCTCTATCATGCCATGTTTCACTCAGTGTAGAGCTCTATCATGCCATGTTTCACTCAGTGTAGAGCACTATCATGCCATGTTTCACTCAGTGTAGAGCACTATCATGCCATGTTTCACTCAGTGAGAGCTCTATCATCCCATGTTTCACTCAGTGTAGAGCTCTATCATGCCATGTTTTCACTCAGTGTAGAGCTCTATCATGCCATGTTTCACTCAGTGTAGAGCTCTATCATGCCATGTTTCACTCAGTGTAGAGCACTATCATGCCATGTTTCACTCAGTGTAGAGCACTATCATGCCATGTTTCACTCAGTGTAGAGCTCTATCATGCCATGTTTCACTCAGTGTAGAGCACTATCATGCCATGTTTCACTCAGTGTAGAGCTCTATCATGCCATGTTTCACTCAGTGTAGAGCTCTATCATGCCATGGTTTCACTCAGTGTAGAGCTCTATCATGCCATGTTTCACTCAGTGTAGAGCTCTATCATGCCATGTTTCACTCAGTGTAGAGCACTATCATGCCATGTTTCATCAGTGTAGAGCTCTATCATGCCATGTTTCACTCAGTGTAGAGCACTATCATGCCATGTTTCACTCAGTGTAGAGCTCTATCATGCCATGTTTCACTCAGTGTAGAGCACTATCATGCCATGTTTCACTCAGTGTAGAGCTCTATCATGCCATGTTTCACTCAGTGTAGAGCTCTATCATGCCATGTTTCACTCAGTGTAGAGCTCTTATCATGCCATTTTTCACTCAGTGTAGAGCTCTATCATGCCATGTTTCCACTCAGTGTAGAGCACTATCATGCCATGTTTCACTCTCAGTGTAGAGCTCTATCATGCCATGTTTAAACTCAGTGTGAAGCTCTATCATGCCATGTTTCACTCAGTGTAGAGCTCTATCATGCCATGTTTCACTCAGTGTAGAGCACTATCATTGCCATGTTTCACTCAGTGTAGAGCTCTATCATGCATGTTTCACTCAGTGTAAGAGCACTATCATGCCATGTTTCACTCAGTGTAGAGCACTATCATGCCATGTTTCACTCAGTGTAGAGCTCTATCATGCCATGTTTCACTCAGTGTAGAGCACTATCATGCCATGTTTCACTCAGTGTAGAGCTCTATCATGCCATGTTTCACTCAGTGTAGAGCACTATCATGCCATGTTTCACTCAGTGTAGAGCTCTATCATGCCATGTTTCACTCAGTGTAGAGCACTATCATGCCATGTTTCACTCAGTGAAAGAGCCTATCATGCCATGTTTCACTCAGTGTAGAGCTCTATCATGCCATGTTTCACTCAATGTAGAGCACTATCATGCCATGTTTCACTCAGTGTAGAGCACTATCATGCCATGTTTCACTCAGTGTAGAGCTCTATCATGCCATGTTTTCACTCAGTGTAGAGCCTCTATCATGCCATGTTTCACTCAGTGTAGAGCTCATCATGCCATGTTTCACTCAGTGTAGAGCACTATCATGCCATGTTTCACTCAGTGTAGAGCACTATCATGCCATGTTTCACTCAGTGTAGAGCTCTATCATGCCACGTTTCACTCAGTGAAGAGCTCTATCATGCCATGTTTCACTCAGTGTAGAGCACTATCATGCCATGTTTCACTCAGTGTAGAGCTCTATCATGCCATGTTTCACTCAGTGTAGAGCTCTATCATGCCATGTTTTACTCAGTGTAGAGCTCTATCATGCCATGTTTCACTCAGTGTAGAGCACTATCATGCCATGTTTCACTCAGTGTAGAGCTCTATCATGCCATGTTTCACTCAGTGTAGAGCTCTATCATGCCATGTTTCACTCAGTGTAGAGCTCTATCATGCCATGTTTCTCTCAGTGTATAGCTCTATCATGCCATGTTTCACTCAGTGTAGAGCACTATCATGCCATGTTTCACTCAGTGTAGAGCTCTATCATGCCATGTTTCACTCAGTGTAGAGCTCTATCATGCCATGTTTCTCTCAGTGTATAGCTCTATCATGCCATGTTTTACTCAATGTAGAGCTCTATCATACCATGTTTCACTCAGTGTAGAGCTCTGTCATGCCATGTTTCACTCATTGTAAAGCTCTATCGTGCCATGTTTCACTCATTGTAAAGCTCTATCATGCCATGTTTCACTCATTGTAGAGCTCTATCATGCCATGTTTCACTCATTGTAGAGCTCTATCATGCCATGTTTTACTCAGTGTAGAGCTCTATCATGCCATGTTTCACTCAGTGTAGAGCTCTATCATGCCATGTTTCTCTCAGTGTATAGCTTTTTAATGTTTCACTCAGTGTAGAGCTTTTTAATGTTTCACTCAGTTTAGAGCTTTTTAATGTTTCACTCAGTGTAGAGCTTTTTAAAGTTTCACTCAGTGTAGAGCTCTATCCTTTCAAATGTACCAATGAACAAAATATAGCACGATAGAGCTCTACACTGAGTGAAAAGTGACTTACTCTACACCCTGTGTCTCTTCAGTGTAACACTCTCTTATATGTATATATATATATATATATATATATATATAATATATATATATATATATATATATATATATATATATTATATATATTATATAACATACATAAGGTGGAAAATCATATGCAGTTACTAGGAAAAATATATTTATTTGATCCCTGGTTTTATTTCTCATTATTTCTGTATTTTGGTGGTATAGAAATATTATTGTTTGTGCTTAATTGTGTGTGTTAAGTTAATTAGTGAGTTGTTAGAGTGCTAACTGGAGTTGTTAGAGTGCTAACTGGAGTGGGTCGACCTTAATTGTGTCGTTAACCTGACTTGTGATAAGCTGGGTTACACGGAAGGTAAGGGATATATGTAGTCAGTGTGAGGGATATCTCTCTTAGTGTGTATACACTGTATGTTTATACAGTGTATATACATATCTCTCAGTGTATATACACTGAGAAATATGTATTTCTCGGTATGCATACACTGAGAGATGTGCATCTCTTAGTATATATACACTGAGAGGTATATGTCTCTCGGTGTATATATACTGAGAAATGCAAATTTCTCAGTGTATATACACTGAGACGTATATGTTTCTTACTCAATGTAAACCGAGGGAAGTATATGTTGGTGGTGTAAATATACTGCGAGATTAATATATCTCAGCAATACATACAACAGTGTATATATCGTTGTATATAGTGCATACACATGTATTAAATTATTCTTGAATAGTGGTGTACAGGTGACAAGCAGCCTTAAGGACCTTCATGCAGTACCTTAAACCTCGTTCAGCAAGCAAACTTCAGGGTCCTTCAAGGTACTGTGTCATTCATGACAGGATGTGTAAGGAGAGGATCCTACAACGGAGTGAGAATCCTTCATAAGAACTTGGTCAGTTTAGCCAGGACTTGTGACCAGGTCATTTGTTCTTGGAAGGATTATGAGGCCTTTAAAGAATTCGGAAGTCTTGTTCGAACTTTGTAGGAAAGGTCTTCATTCGGAACTGATTAAAGCATCTTCACTAAGGTCAGTTATTGCCGCTAGAGCTTTGTTAAGAAAGCTTTGTTTCTGGAAAATAGGATAGATTCTTTGAGAAGATGAGTGTCCCAGTACCGTGGCTGCAACAGTCTTAGAAGGACGAAGTGGGACTTGACAGTGGACCGAAACGGACCGACATGTCAGCATTAGGTTTTTCTCCGTAATAATTCTAACTTTTGGTAGGAAAGAAAAAACTCCTAGAACTGTTTATTAATCTGGCTAGAACTTTCTCATGTGGCAGAGATCACTCTTGTAGAACTGTTGGAATAACATCATCAAATACGTGGATAGGTAGGGTGGAAGGATCTATCCGGAGCTCTTGTTAACATCAGCTGCCAATTTAAGAATAAGAAAAGTATTTTGCATCCAACTAGAACTTAAAGTAGAGTAGCGTAGAGGTCCCAGAACTCTGGGAAGATCATCTAGGATTCCGGTTCAGTTTCAGGAACTTTTACAAGAGGAGGAGTTACGGATGTCTTTCAGAACCATTCGTGAATGTTGCTGAGGAAGATTATGGAGAGGTTGTAGAACTTAAGAGATTTAAAGAAGTGTATAACTTCCAAAGATGAGGAGACTTGGTAGGCGTTGGAATGATTGAAGAACTTCAGGCTAACTGGAGTCCATGGGAAAGATGGCGGAGGTAGCTAGAACTTTTAATCGACTCTACCGAAGAGTTCTGGGGGTCGTAGAACTTTACAGCTTCAGAGAGGTGCCAGCACGTTAAAACATCCATGAATAAAGAGAACTGATAGGCACTGGAACGATCCAAAAGCTCCTATCTCACTGGAGTTCCTGGGAAAGATGACAGAGCTCCCTAGAACTGCTCATCGACTCTGCCGAAGAGAGAGTTTCTGGAGTCATAAATGGACTGAGCCTGGTCGCAGGGGAAGGCGTAGGCTGGATGGTTGCAGGTGAGAGTCTCCTGGTCGAAAACGGTCTGGTTGCCACACACGAAGGAGAAGTGAGCTGTCTGGACCACCTGAAGAAGAAGCAAGGTGATCAAACACACATACTAGCCTACGGGTCTAGAGCTTCCAGTAAACCTCAAGGAAAAAAGATCGTTCCACCAAGGTGACCAACACACGTCATAGCAACAACAACACTAAATGCAACAACAACAGGAAAACTGATACCGCCATAAACTCTAACATAAACTAAACAATCTTACCCACAAAACACAACTAACAACACAAACAATTATCAAGAATTTCGAAACTTAAGCTTCAACTCAAAAAAATAATAATCTTAGGGAAAATTGTAGGTAAAGAGGAGACACAGAGGACACAAGAATAAAGTGAGGAATTATCGTATGATAGTTTTTGTATACGAGGCGCCGTTATTGGCGAGTCGTTAGTAGTAACAACCCCGTTGTTTGCTAGTGTTCGGGAGGATGGTTCAACCTTGGCAATTACAGTCGTCACGCTTGTTGATAATAGTGAGGAGACTGTCTCTCTCTCTCTCTCTCTCTCTCTCTCTCTCTGTCTCTCTCTCATAACAGACGTGGAGAATAAGGGAATTAGTTAGAATATTTTAGAATGTTAGTGTATAAGAATATTATCTAATTAGAGTGAAGGACAGGAAGAGGAGAGACAGAGAGACAGACAGAGACAGAGAGACAGAGAGAGACAGACAGAGACAGAGAGACAGACAGAGACAGAGAGACAGAGAGACAGAGAGACAGAGAGACAGACAGAGACAGAGAGACAGAGAGACAGACAGAGACAGAGAGAGTAGAAACACAAAGAATGCAAAGGGGTGACCATCTTCTCCTTAGGCACAAGTGTTGACCCCCTTAACCTCTTCCCCCTCCCCTCCCCCTCCCCTCCCCCTCCCCCTGCCCCGAGGCACGAGAGAAGGGGCGTAGAAAAGCAGGTAGATGTACCCAGAGAACCGAGAAAGGCGCGTATATATATATATATCGCCCTTCTGTTGCGCCACTCTAACGGGAGGGGGGGGTAAGGGGAGGGTGACGCAAGACCAAGAGAACGGTATTGTAACAGAAAGTAACAGTAGAGGAAGAGAAGGGGGGGAGGTGAACAACAGGTGTAGATGAGACAACAGAAGAACAACAGGCGGGAGAAACGGGAAAAGAGGGGAATAACGGGAGGTAAACAGAGGGAACAGGAAGAATAAGAAGGACATAAGAGACAAAAAACAATTGATAATATTAATAAGATGAGATAAGAAGAGGAGAATATAAAGAAAAGAAAGAATAGGAAGAAGAGGGGAAGAGAAGAGGGAGAACAGGAAGCCGCTAGGAACAGAATAAAGCCGTAACGGGAAGGCTGTGAGCAACAGGAGAGGGTTCAACAGGGAGGCTTGGGAGTAACGGGAGAGGGTTCAACAGGGAGGCTTGTGAGCAACGGGAGAGGGTTCAACAGGGAGGCTTGTGAGCAACGGGAGAGGGTTCAACAGGGAGGCTTGTGAGCAACGGGAGAGGGTTCAACAGGGAGGCTTGTGAGCAACGGGAGAGGGTTCAACAGGGAGGCTTGTGAGCAACGGGAGAGGGTTCAACGGTGAAGCTTGGGAGTAACGGGAAAGGGTTCAACAGGGAGGCTTGTGAGCAACGGGAGAGGGTTCAACAGGGAGGCTTGTGAGCAATAGGAGAGGGTTCAACAGGGAGGCTTGTGAACAACGGAAGAGGGTTCAACGGTGAGGCTTGGGAGCAACAGAAGAGGGTTCAACAGGAAGGCACTGTGCTATAAACGGCAGAGGCAACAGGTGGGGATGCGCTGACAGCATCCTTGATCTTTAATTATAAGTGATCACAGGTGACCTCTCTCTCTCTCTCTCTCTCTCTCTCTCTCTCTCTCTCTCTCTCTCTCTCTCTCTCTCTCTCTCTCTTACCTGTCACATCTCCCCCTCCTCCCCTCCTCCCCTCCTCCCCCTCCTTCTACCCTTCCTCCACCTCCTCCTCCATTACATTATTCTTCTCCTTCCATCTCCACACCTCGTGCTTAACCTTACTCTGCCAGCGGTAACTTATAGTTTCAATATTAATTCTCCCTAAGATTTTCCCTGTATAATCCCCGAGAGTAAATTATAGCAGCATAATTACTTAGACATCGATTATAGTAGTTGAATAAGTTGCTGTTTTAGCAGCTAATGATAGTTACATTATGGGTACATCAGCATAGCTGGGAGACTTCAGTAGTGTCAGTCTGAGCTGGGAGACTTCAGTAGTGTCAGTCTGAGCTGACAGACTTCAGTAGTGTCAGCCTGAACTGACAGACTTCATTAGTGTCAGCCTGAACTGACAGACTTCATTAGTGTCAGCCTGAGCTGACAGACTTCAGTAATACAGCGAAGATATCGTCCAGTACTCAGCAACGAGACATCAGCCAGGTCAACATCAAAGGTCATCTTCCAGCAGAGCTGGAGTTACTATCACCTGGAAGGTACCATCTCCCTGTGCAGGTAGAGGAGGTAGAGGAGGAGAGAGAGAGAGAGAGGTCGACAGGGAGAGAGAGTGAGGGAGAGAAGGGAGGGTACAGAGAAAGTGACAGTACATTCACACCCTCTCTTCTCTCTCTACTCGTCCATACATTTCCTTTCTCTTCTGCCCATCGTTATCCCCTCGTCTTCTTCTTCCCATCTTCTCTAGTTTATGTTCATGCTTTGTCGTTTAGTTGCGATATTTGTCGGAACAGCATTGTGATACGTGAAAGGTCCTACCGGTGACAATTTCACTTGTCTCAGATCGTTCTGGTGACAGACTCACCTGTCAATGGTCGTCCTGGTGACAGACTCACTTGTCATAGGTCGTCCTGGTGACAGACTCACCTGTCCCAGGTCGTTCTGGTGACAGAGTCACTTGTCATAGGTCGTCCTGGTGACAGACTCACCTGTCCCAGGTCGTCTTGGTGACAGACGCACTTGTCCCAGGTCATCCTGGTGACAGACTCACCTGTCCCAGGTTGTCATGGTGACAGACTCACCTTTCCCAGGTCGTCCAGGTGACAGACTCACCTGTCCCAGGTTGTCATGGTGACAGACTCACCTGTCCCAGGTCGTCCAGGTGACAGACTCACCTGTCCCAGGTCGTCTTGGTGATAGTCTCACTTGTCCCAGGTCATCTTGGAAGGGTAAGCAGACTCACCTGTCCCAGGCCATCTTGGATAGGTAGATAGACTCGCCTGTCCCAGGTCGTCCTGGAAGGGTAAGTAGACTCACCTGTCCCAGGTCGTCCTGGAAGGGTAGGTAGACTCACCTGTCCCAGGTCGTCCTGGATAGGTAGACATACATGAAACACTTGACAAGCGTTGTCTACGTCAGCGTAGTATCCGTAGGGCCTCCCCTGGCAAGTGAAGGTCTGGCTCACCTGCCCGACGATACTCTCGTAACCTGAGGTGAACACCCAGCCCATTCGGCAGGTGGCCAGGCTGGCCAGGCTGGCCACACAGAGAGCCACAAGCCAGGTCTTCATGGTATTGGAGAGATGGGGATGTGGAGGCTGGAGGAGGGATGGAGAAAGGAGTGGTGGATGAAGGAGAGGCTGCTGGAGGAAGTGGTGGATGATGGAGGGGCTGCTGGAGGCAGTGGTGGAGGAAGGAGGGGCTGCTAGAGGGAGTGGTGGAGGTTGGAGGGGCTGTTGGAGGCAGTGGTGGATGAAGGAGAGGCTGCTGGAGGCAGTGGTGGAGGAAGGAGGGGCTGCTGGAGGCAGTGGTGGAGGAAGGAGGGGCTGCTGGAGGAAGTGGTAGAGGAAGGAGTGGCTGTTGGAGGTAGTGGTGGATGAAGGAGAGGCTGCTGAAGGCAGTGGTGGAGGGAGGGACTAGTGGAGGGTCTGGTAGTTGAAACTGTGGAGGTACAGTTAGAGTTGGAGGTAGAGAGAAAGGAGGAGGGAGGAAGGAGGAGGTAGATGTAGTGAGGTAGAATGCTTCAACAGGTTGATGACAGGTTCACTAGTCGTTGATATCTGAGGAAGAAACAGCCAAATTACACTATCATCAACAAGAATATATATATATATATATATATATATATATATATATATATATATATATATATATATATATATATATATATATATATATATATATATATATATACATATATATATATATATATATATATATACATATATAATGTATATGAGAGTGTCGTAGGGTAGTGCGCGCTAAGATGTTTTTGTTTACATCTGGGGGAGAGCACGTGGCCGGCTGTGACGTCATCATGTCCACGTGGCCCAGCAGATTGTAAACAAACTGTGACGTCATTACATCAGCTGTGCCGCTGTCACTGTCAGTACAAGAGCACCACCACTACTATCACTGCTGCTACTACTACCACTACCACCACTACGACTACTATCATTATCATTACTACCACTACTATCACTACTACCACTACTACTACTACTACCACTACCACCATCGCTACTACCACTACTATCACTACTACCACTACTACCACTACTGTCGCTACTACCACTTCTATCACTACCACCACTACTACCACCACTACTACCACCACTACTACAACCACTACTACCACCACTACTACCACCACCACTACCACCATTACTACCGCCACTACTACCACCACTACTACCACCACTACTACCACCACTACTACCACCACTACTACCACCACTACTACCACCACTACTACCACCACTACTACCACCACTACTACCACCACTACTACCACCACTACTACCACCACTACTACCACCACTACTATCACTAGTACCCCATTTAAGAAAAATCTTTAATTTGATCAGAAGTATTCCCCTGAAGATATGAGGGTGATGGGCGTGTGTGTGGGCGTTGTTACCTGTGTGGGCGGCGGTGCGGGCGTATGTGT